GCCGTTGTGACCCTGGGCAGTCCTTGAGCTCTGTGCCTCAGTTGTCTCACCTGTAAAGGGGCACAAGTACTGGTGTCCTCACCTCATAGGGTTGTTGGGAAGAGGAAATGAATGAGTACAGCAAAAGCACTTTCAAACAGTGTCCAGCCCAGAGTGAGTGTTAGCTTGTATTTGTTATTATGCATGAGCTCAAGTGTTAGCTGCTGTCATCTCTGTGGTTCTTGTAGCTCAGGCCGGCGCTGCTCACAGCGCCCACCAAACTGGCTTCTTCCTGTAGCGACCGAGGACCGGCCTCCACGCCCAGCCCCCGGCACCGGGTTAACTCCAGGGGTCAATGGTGTCTCCCTGCCTTCCTCATACCCCACCGTGATGTGTCACCGAACACTTTGTGTTTTAGTTTCCTGAGGACAACTAAGAATCCATACAGAATAGAGAGATGAAGCCCACCGAACCCTTAGGTACTGGAACCACAGGCTAGGAAGAGGCCGGGAAGGATTGTCCCTCGGGCAGGCACAGCCCTGCCCACACCTTGATTTATGTCTTTTTGAGAGACAGAGAGAGAGAAAGCATGAGCAGGGGAGGGGCAGAGAGAGAGGGAGACACAGAATCTGAAGCAGGTTCCAGGCTTCGAGCTGTCCGCACAGAGCCTGACACAGGGCTCGAACCCACAAACTGCAGATCATGGCCTGAGCTGAAGTCGGACACTTAACTGACTGAGCCACCCAGGCACCCCTCCAAAGCACTTTCTATGCAGTATCCAGGTTTGTTCTCATAGAACCTTAGGAGGCAGGTGCCTATGCCCCCATTTTACAGGTAAGGAAACTGAGGCTGAGAATGCTAACATGCCCAAGGTCGCTCAGTGAGCAAGCAGCCTACGTGACCCAGAGGCCTGGGCTCCTCCTCCCCGACCCCACACCACCTCCTGCCTGTGGAGCAGATACGTGTGCGGCCACGAACCAGATGGCTCAATGCCGGTCCTGCACCACCACTCCCAGCCGTTGTGACCCTGGGCAGTCCTTGAGCTCTGTGCCTCAGTTGTCTCACCTGTAAAGGGGCACAAGTACTGGTGTCCTCACCTCATAGGGTTGTTGGGAAGAGGAAATGAATGAGTACAGCAAAAGCACTTTCAAACAGTGTCCAGCCCAGAGTGAGTGTTAGCTTGTATTTGTTATTATGCATGAGCTCAAGTGTTAGCTGCTGTCATCTCTGTGGTTCTTGTAGCTCAGGCCGGCGCTGCTCACAGCGCCCACCAAACTGGCTTCTTCCTGTAGCGACCGAGGACCGGCCTCCACGCCCAGCCCCCGGCACCGGGTTAACTCCAGGGGTCAATGGTGTCTCCCTGCCTTCCTCATACCCCACCGTGATGTGTCACCGAACACTTTGTGTTTTAGTTTCCTGAGGACAACTAAGAATCCATACAGAATAGAGAGATGAAGCCCACCGAACCCTTAGGTACTGGAACCACAGGCTAGGAAGAGGCCGGGAAGGATTGTCCCTCGGGCAGGCACAGCCCTGCCCACACCTTGATTTATGTATTTTTGAGAGACAGAGAGAGAGAAAGCATGAGCAGGGGAGGGGCAGAGAGAGAGGGAAACACAGAATCTGAAGCAGGTTCCAGGCTTCGAGCTGTCCGCACAGAGCCTGACACGGGGCTCGAACCCACAAACTGCAGATCATGACCCGAGCTGAAGTCGGACACTTAACTGAGCCACCCAGGTACCCCAGTCAATTTTTGACTGTCTCTCAAAAATACATAAGTCAATACACCTTTCTGGCCTCCGGGACTGGGAGAGATCCCTGTGACTTCAAGCCACCCACTTTGTGGCAGTTTGTTACGACAGCCCTGTAATAATATAACCACCAATATAAAAAAATAACAAAACAAACAAAACCCGGATCCGGGCATGCCACCGCCAAGGCTGAAATACTGTGAGGGCAGGGGCAGTGGGCAGACAGGGGGTGAGCAGGTGCCCCCGAGGCTGAGAGCCTACACAGCCATGTCCCCCTCGGCCTGGGACCTGGCCTCCAAGCCCCCACACCTGAAAAGAAGTGGGCCCTAAAGCCCCGTTTGGAGACCGTGTTGTCTGACTTGAACTCCACACGCATGTTGTTGCTCTGGGAGGTGATGGCCTCGGGCATCTCGGAGCCGCAGAACTTGCCATGCAGCCGGGCGTCGGGGGACAGGCCGCTGCGCACCTCCACAAAGTCGTACTTACAGACCTGCAAGGGAGCGCCACGGGGAGCCGCCCGGTCCTCCCGAGGCCCCACCCCACAGTCAGTGCAGGACCCCTTCCTGACAGCCACACCCTGCCTAGGGGCCAGACCGGCTCAGCCTCATCCAGAAGAAGGGAGGGGCTTCTCAACTCTTACTGGGGTCCCTCTGGCCCAACGCGTAGGCAACATGGGGCTCTCGCGACTAGCACTCTGGCTGGAGGGCTCTACCTGGGCCTTGGCCGACTTGGTCATCCCATGACCACTGCCCAAAGGAGGAGACAGGCAATTCATACCATCCTGGTCCCCGGGTGCGTCTCACCCCCTCCGTTACCCTCAATGGGACGCTAATCCCCAGACTCCTACCCCAGGGGACATCCTTGTTTTGACCACCTCCCACCCCCAAGACCTGCCTCCTCCACTCTGGTCCTGATTCTCCTTGGGTCCGTCAGTGACAAGAGGACCAAGGCACCGTGTCTGCAGAGGACAGACAGCTTAAACTGCTGCCCCAAACGCTCCCAGATTCTGCCCCGCAAAGGTAGTATGACTATAGGAAGCTGCGTCCCTGCCTGCCGAGCCCCTCGCTGGTCTGCAGCCCCGAGCCACGTCCCCACACAAGGAATTAGAGCACAGAAGCATACATCGTTGCCTTCCAGTTCAAACACTTCAAACTGGAGGGAGATCCGGTACTGAGCAGGGGCCACCACCTGCCAGACGCAGTTTTTGTTTGTAGGATACTCTTTCGGCCACCCAGGGCTGGTGATGGTTCCGTTCAGCTTGGTAATAAAACCGCCACAGGCCACTGCACGGGAGAAACAGAAGCAAGACTCATTTGGTTTTCGTTCCAAGTGACTGCGATTTCCCCCCAAGCGGCAATAAGCGGGCTGTTCTTTAACACAAAAGAAAAAGAAAGAAAAAGAGAAAGGTTGACAATCTGAACTGATTAATCCCGCAGCGTTTCTCCTAGTCGGCTTCAACTGAGCATTTGGAGGGATGAAGCTGAGGACAAGCCTTTACCGCTTTTTAAAATGATGACAACACACGCGTGCTTACCTGTTGCTCAGGGGCATAGCCGGGGACTCCACATGACTTGGACCAAAGGAGCCTTGGCAATGTTTGTACCGAGCTGTGCACTTTACCTGGCTTACACGAACAAGCAGGGTCAGCCAGGTGGGCAAGGAAAACGGAACGCCAGGCAGGTAGAAATGGAATGAGTGAAATGGGCTATCAGCTGAGTCACACCTAAGGGCGCAGAGTTTTTCTTTGCTTTTCTTTTTTATCTGATAATCATGTGAAGTGTTCACGGTCACGGAAGAAAATGAACCCGTCAGCGCCTGGGATGGAGTCCTCGTAATTTGGGCAGCCCCCTCGCACGTGGGTGACTTTGTGGAGCTATTTTTCCCTCCGAGAGCCGGGGACGTCACCCACCACAGATCATGTCACCTCACAGCCAGCCGGCTTCCCCCTCTCCTCCCCACTTCTCCTAACTTGTCCCTTATCCTGTCTCATTCTAGCTTGGTGGGTCCAACACCAACCTTCACACGTCTTCTTATCGGCAGCCAGCTCGTAGCCAGGGTCGCACGCGCACTTGTAGCTGCCCAGAGTGTTCACACAGCGCTGCTCACACCCGCCGTGATCTGGCCAGGAGCACTCATCCACCTCTGTGGGAGAGGAAGGGGACCCCGGCTAAATCACCACAGAGCTGCCTGGTCTGTTCCCCATCCCATTCCACGCCCCATGGCCCCTGGCAAATGACCTCTAAGAACAAGAATGGTGCCTGGTGACCACCTCCCAGGGAGGCTCATGCCCACGTCTCAGACACTGGCAGCAGCCATAACCAAAGGAGAAGTCTCGAGAACATAAGAGTAACTTGTTACCCAGAGGGAGGGCTCCTCTGGAGGAGATCAGGCCTGGATGATTTTATTCTTTGAAGGGTTCAATCAGGGAATACAGTGTGATTTTTAAAAAATCTCTTCCACACCGGAGACTTAATCAGTTTTAATGCCATGGAATTGAGGTTCCTCCCAAATATGGCACTTCTCAGGGACATTAAGTGGAAGATAAGAACAAAGGGACACATTTCTAGATGAAGATATAAAAGTATTTTTTAGAGACAGAACCAGAACCTGTGATTTAGCGTTTTATAAATAATCTGAAGAGGTGTGCTCAGGGAGATCTTCAAGATTACAGAAAACACTGAGCTCTCAGGTTAGCCAGGAGAACTGGGAGGTTCTCCCAGGAGAAACCGGGGGAGGCCACAGTGCGACTGAGTTAGCAGGGGAGTCAGATGGGATTCAGCACTGACAAGTGTCTGGTGACATGTTTGGGGCAATTAAATAACACCAAGCAGGATACCAGGAGAGCTGTCCCGAGGAGCAACACAGGAGTCACTGGAGAATCTGCCTGGAAATGTCAGCCCATGCATCACTGGAGAAAAGAAAAACCCAGGCAGTGGGCATCGCCCGGGAGAGGATCAGAAATGAAAGGAAAAACTCCTGATTTTCCGTTGCCAGGCTGTGGTGCATCTATCCCCGAGAGGGGAGGTTGTGGCCTCACTGAGCCAGAGAGCCCAGAGAGGGCACAAGACATGGAGGCATCTTCAAAAACAAAACAAAGCCTAACGAGCCCAATCTAGGAGGAAGAAACGGTGGGGTGGTATGGGTTCATAACATCACGGAAGGTAGGAATAGAGCAGGCACGGTGTTGTCCGCAAAATCCTCAAAGACGGCATTACACGTAAAACGAGAGAAACCAGGACATCTTGCAGTTAGTTAAGTCCTGAAAAGACCCCCCCCCACCCCCAGTCCTGCCCTTAGGCGGGCGATCCTTTCAGTGACATTTCTTACAGATGGCTTTGCAGGTCCTGCTCAAAATCCCCCAGAGACAGGACTCTCACTGCTTTTCAAAAGTATTTCTTATCCTTTGGAATTTGAATTGTCAAAATTCTGGCTCCTTGCCACTTCCAACCCATTGGTCCTGCAGAACACGCAAACCCTTCAGCCGTGATGTGTCCCTCTGAGCTGCCTTTTTCTGACTCAAATAGACCCATTTCCTTCCAGTCTTCCTTGTCCACGATGCACAAAACACTCATGCACCTGCCCGCTCTTCACTGGGCAAACTTAGGTAATTCTTAGAGTGATGCGTTGTTGGGCTCAGCCAAACTTAAGTAAGTTGGTCAGGAGGGGGACTGAGTTCAGGAGGCATGCTCTAGACAGGGGTTTGAAGTTGTCCGTGGGCTCGAATAAATGCAAGCATTAAGTATGCTAAAATAGTAAGCATCTGGCAACCACTCATTCCTTTACAAAAGGCAAAGTACTTTCTTTGACATTTTCTAGAAAGTATAGGAGGAGAATCAATGATAAGAAGAAACGGAAAGAGTCCAGTGTTCTAGAGTGAGCCTCACAGACCTCGGTTGGATCCACCACTGGATCTTACCCCAACCGGTTGGGTGATTTAATTTTTCTGAGTGTTCCTCCTGTGTTAAAGTGAGGATAGTACCTACTTTTAGGGTTGTGGGGGTTGAAAATGAAGGGTGTGAAGTACCCAGCATACAGACATCTGGTACGGAGTAGCGCTCCCTACAGACAACAGCAAGATTGCTTTTGAAATCCCAGTGGGTGGACAGATATGCTGATGAAGGGAGTGGAAAGGATAAGGTTACCTGGGCACACCTGAATCAGGTGAGAGCACAGTGCAAGCCTGAGGAGGGGAGCGAGACAAAGGTGTCAAAAGAAGGACAAGGTGTCAAAGACTGGCCAGTGATGGAAGAAGAGATGGGCAGGAAGGCAGCACAGCAGAGTCAAGAAACTGGCAGGTGAGTGCAGGGGAAGGGCAGAAAAGAATGATGGAAGAAGCTCATCAAAATAGACCAAGACAAACACAAGACCTCACAGCTGGGGGGTGAAGGGAGACTCTGATGCCAGAAGATGCTATGGCAATGGGCAGGACACACGTTTGTCATCGGCAAGAAAGGGAAGACCACAGATGAACAAGTCTCCTGGTGCCATCTTAGCCATGTGGAGGGAGAGAGGCTGGTAGATTGGATTTGGGCTGAAGGCAACAGGAATATAGTTCCTCCAGGGACTAGAAGGGTAGGATGTTTGTTGAGCCCAAGAAGGCGGGTGAAAGATACAGGGTTACATCTGAGCTCCCTCCAGCTAAAGCAGTGGGATGTTTGGCCATTTTCAACTGTACTCCAGCTTGAGTGGATGGTGTGGAAGTGTACCAGGGCCCCACTCTTGGTGGGACACTGGGTGTCCTTGGAACCACTCCCACACTTTGATGAAGCAGCATCTGCTCCAAGCCCACAAGTTCATGCTTGCTCTGGCCTACCGTGGTCAAAAGCCAAGCCTCCCCCCCAAATCTGGGAGGCTGTGGGTGTGGGTAGGAAAAGAAAAGGCTGAACTAGACAGGGCTCAGCCATACAGAGTGGTAGCTCTGTCTTCCTTGCCTTCTTCAAGTGGTAGTAGTGAAAGAAGGTACCATTCTATGCTTAGATCATGAGATGGCTCAGAGAGGATGCCAACAATTGTTTCAGAGAGAGTTGAGGAAAGAGGAGTCAGGGCACCTCCTTAAGCTTTTGAAGAAGCACCTGAAGGAAACCAGTCCGCCTCATCGACATCCCATGGTGGTCCATTGGCACTGGGACAGAGGAGTATGGGGATCAAGGTGGGAATCATATTCTTTATGTGAGGAGTATGGGACCAAAATGGCTCTGCCAACCTTCAAATGCTGCTGCCATCTCCCAAAGTAAGCGGAGATGAGCTCTGCCTGCTGCCAGGCCAGCGGGCTCAGAGAGGACTGCCATCTGGCACCGAGAGAGGGATGCAAAGGCCAACTGGCACCCTGGTCAGTGCCATGCGCCAACTGGGCTCTGGGCAGAGGCTCGTGCCAACTGGCACCAAGGCAAGAGCTTCTTCGGCTTGGTCCAACTCCTCTGGGTGGACTTTGTAGTTAGTCTTCCAGTTTCTTTCAGTGGAGGAGTCCTGACACACGCACTGGGTGCTGTGTGTTCCCAGGACACCCTACCGATGGCTTCTCTGGAAAAAGGCTGGGCCATCCAGTCTCCAGACCTGCACTGACCGATGTGGTCGCCACCAGCCTGTGTGGCTATCGAACACTTGAAATGTAGCTGGTCCAAATTCAGGTGTGCCGTGAGTGTAAAAGACGCCGGATTTCCAAGACTTAGTATGAAAAAAACCCTAAAATGTTTCGTTAACTTTGTGTATGTAAATTACATATTAAAATGATAGTATTGCATGTGATGGTAAATGATTATAGAACTGATATATTGGGTTAAATAAAATATATTCAAATAATTCCATCTGTTTCTTTTGGGGGGGGCAGGGTGAGGGACGAGGTTGCTACTGGATAGTTTAAGATTACATATGTGGCTCACTTTTGTGACTTGCCCTCTTTTTCTGTTGGACAGCACTGCTCTAGACTGCGGTCTCACCTCATTCTTTCTCCTGGGAACCCCGAAAAGTAAGCAGGGAAAGCAGCAGGAAGCTCAATCCACAAATGAGGAATCTGAGCCTCATTATTCTTTCATCTATTCATTCCCTGCCCAGTGAGTATTTACTGAGCTGAGTGTGGGCCAGGCGCTGGGAATACAGTGGAAAACAAAGCAGGTACGATCCAGTCTCAGAAAGGAAAACTGACCTGCCTGAGAGCAGACACCTACCTAATAAGGAATGAGGGCGGGATGAAAAGCCGAACCTCGGACACTAAATCCAAGGCCCCTTTCCCCATATTCCCATGGTATTAAGGGGGCAGAAAGGCGACAGGTGTCAGAATCAAGTCACAAACACGAATGAGAAATTCAAGCCCCCTGACTTTCCCTTGCCCGAGACTGGCAGGTCTTTGTAGTGGGAAGAATGCACTGGGGACCCTACAGAGATCCGGGGTCTGTTCTGGCTCCGCCAGTTTGGAATTTCAGTTTCCTCAATTTAAAAGTGGGGGTAAAAATAATGCCTACCAAGGGGTTGTTCTGAAGACGAAGTGAGATATCTCATGCAGTTTCTAGCACACTCAGTAGACCTCTTTTCTTTCCCCTCCAAGAAGTGTTCTGAAGTTTCCAGCAATCCTGCTGCCCGTTTTCAGGTTCAGAGTCAAGCTTACTGACATCAAGAAGACATCAAGCCGGGCCTGTGCATTAAGTCAGTGTAGACGGGCCTCAGTAAACATCTTCCTGGGCATCTAAAAAAGATGTTTGCGAGCTGAGAAGTGAAATGCCCTTGAAGTGTGAGGCGGGGCAATGTGGCCCTGTCCCCAGGCTGGGGGCCTCCCGGGTCCACACGTCCATGGTCAGTGTCATCACCCATTTGCCTGCAGTTCTCTTTCACCACCTTGAGCTCCTGAGGATGACTGTGCCTTCCTGTGTCCCCAGCCCCCAGCACAGCACCTGACACATGGCTTGATGGCTGCTGAATGATGGCTAACTGTGGAAGAAGAAGACGATGGTATCTTCTAACCAGCAAATGGAGCTGGTTATCGTGGGTACTGAGAGCGAGCCAGCTCGGTCCCCCACAAACCAGTGCAGCATCACAGAGGAAGCACTCCTTTCCACTGCGTTGATTGGCATCTCAGGAGGGTTGCCACAAAAA